TATATTACCTCCCCCGCAACTCGACCTCGACCGTATTATCATCATGCACGTCGGCCGGCGACGTCCGCAGCTCGATCCCCGGGCGCGCGGGATCTCGAACTCCTGCACCACCACCCGCGGGGCACGCGGACCACGTCAGTGCTGGAACAGCGCGAGCGCGTCCACGGCGGAGGCTTCGTCTGTGATGCTGCGCGGGGCGCGAGCGTGTCCCGGTTGGGGAGGCCGCCAAACTCGAGTCGCTCGAGCCGTGTGCACTGCGCGAGCCTCTTTACTGAGAGAGCTGCTGGGCGCCGGACGGCGGCGAGGGCGGTCGGGCCGCCTTTGGCTCTGTGCCAGAGAAGCTGCGGCATCCGCGCTCACGAGCGAGACGACATCCTTTATGAACGTCGTACTGAACTTGGCGGAGACAAGCGTAAGGCCGATGCAGAGCGAGACGAACTTGCCAGATGCGCACAGTTGCGCTAAGGTGTCCGGAGCGAAGGCGCAAGGACGTCTAGGTGTCGCAGGTTGGGTAGGCGGAGGAGCGCGGTGGCGAGCAAAGATGCGTCGGAGATGCGGCCGCGGCAGGTGTGGCGCAGCATGAGACCGGAGGAACGCGGCGAGGGCGTGGCCGCGTTCCAACTTACAAGGCGGCGACGTTGTTTCTCGCCGATGCGGTTTCGATATAGATGTTGTTGGGGATGATCACGCGACGGAAGGGGACGTGTGAGAACCAGGCCTCACAGATGACGGGCACTGAGGGCAGAACAGGGAGCAGGTCCGTTGGTGCAAAGCCAGGGGAAGGGCTAGATGGTCGAGGATCTCCAGAATAAGATCCTCGAGCATATAGTTTGACTGGAACCGGGGTTGGTTCGGTTCTGGCATTCTTTGAGGAAATTTTCAAGGAGGCTGAAAAGGCGATGCGACTCCGCGTGATTGGATGCGACGCGACGAAATGAGCCAAGCATGCGCATACAAACCATTGAATTCAAACCAAAAAAATGGTAGAACTGCCACCTTCACACGGACTCGGCCGTGGGGTCGTTTATGTTGATCATGGATTCAGGCGTTATACAGGACGACCTCGGTCTAAAATCAGTGAGTCTTGCATTTCAACGTATCATATAATCTAGACCAAATCAAGGATCCCCTCGGGATATCCGCCGTCCCTCGTCATAAATATCTACATGTTTTCTGAAATGAATCTCGTCTCGACGCCAGGGAAAGAGAACGAACCGTCGTGCCACATGAACTCGTCCGCGACAGCGCCCCGCGTGCTTAGCGCGTAGTACGGTTCCACCACGGTAGAAATGGGCGCGTCGTAGAGCGTCGTGCTCTCTGCCGTACGCTGAGGACCCGCATGCTTGTGGTCTCGTAGATTAAGCATCAGACGCGAGATCATGATCGAGGATATGCTGCGCGAGGAGGAAAAATGAAGCCCGGGGACGGGGAAAGGATAAGAGACGCTTACACGTTCGTGAATGTCGTGCCAACACCGCGCACATAGGGCTGAAGTGAGGTGAGAGCTGGGACGTCGATATTTCAGCTGGACACGAACCCCGGCATACTGCGAAGAAATCAGCGAAGGGGGCTGATATGTAACCGAGTGAGACACACCATAAAACTGAGAATGTTCCCGCAATTTGAAGCGACCATAACACTGCGAGGGCCGGTCAGAAGTGCGTGCGGTTTCAACGGACGTGGGTCGTACAGGAAATACAGTGATCCTGAAGAAGTGATGTGTAAATCGGGAGATCACCGGCATCGAGGAGAGCATACCATCGCGTATGAGGAGAAAAATCAGGCCTCCACGCTGCGCCCTCGACGCCGCTAAAGCTTTCAGTGCTGTTAAAACAAAAATCATGCTGTCGAAGACAAGCATCCCGGTCCACGCGTAGCCGAGGCCTAGGCGTGTGAGCAGGGGAACGAACAGCGGAAAGAAAAGGACGTACGGCGGCTCCTGAATGAAAGCACGGCGCAGTAAGCGACTTGTGCTGAGGATGGCGTATGTACACGTACGAAGAAATCTCCAAGCCACTGGCACACCCGACCTCGACGAGTAATTTCTCGAGGGCATCAGAATCGCCCTTTCCACTGAAAATGAGACACTGTGCATGGGGGATGAAAACGCAGCGCGCGGAGAGGGACCAGGCGGAGACGGCTCACGGCACCGGTGATAGCGGCAGCGGCGGCTACGGCCAACATGGAGAAGAGGAGCCGCCGATTGCGTTCGTATAACGCGTATGTTCGCATGATAAGTATCGCTGTGCTGGCCGTGAGCTGCGGGCGCAAAAAGACGCTTTCTGCGGCGCAACTGACCTGCAACGAACGCCTGTGCGGCGATCGCGTAGTATTGGTGGTAGGTTCGAAGAATGTGGCAACTTTGGATGACATCACTTTTAATCGCGGGCAGATGGACGGCATACGCACGCCTGCAGAGGATGGGTCAGATACTGGGATTTATTCCAGGAAGGACAGAGACATGCCTGCAGTTTATTGAGGTTGTTGGTGTTCCAAAAGCTTTCGAGAACAATTGGAAGGCTGCCGACGAGCGACATGTAGCGATTGAGATAGAAGAGCACTGTGGCCCATGTCAGGCCGGTTCCCCAGTACGTGAGGATCTCTTGATCGAGAGTCAAGAGGTACTCGTAGAATAGAATGGCTAGGCAAACGTCGCTGGTCAGTGCAGTTCGTTGGCGCTGGTAGGCCCTTACTGAAGGAGGTGATGGAGACATAAGTGTTAACGTTCCTGCAGTCTGCCATGTCAGCTGTCGGATTTGACATATCGAGGAGAGGGACGTACAGCTCGAATAGCGTCTCGGCTGGACTGAGGATTGAGCTCGAGCTGCTCATCGCGATTTTGACCTCGGCTAGTGAAGGAACATGGGGGAACGGAGGACGTTGCACAAGAGACTGAGGGGTACATGATTCGACTCATGTGGTAGATCAGCGCTTTGATGGTAGTTGATGATTTGTTAGAGCATAATTTGCAACACCCAAAATCGAGGCTTCTGCGATCTCACCCATCATTTTTAAGCGAAGGAAGTGACTGATGTGACTGGGGCCGCCTTCTTCATCCAGTTCTCACCAACATCTTGCTCTGAAATGAACGGGTGCAGGGGGGACCTATTCAGCACGTTCCCTGTGCTCAACTCCCAGTAAAACTGGGCCACCAGGGTGCGTATTGAGTTTCCAGTGAATTTCCTTGGACACTGTTTCTATTTCGGTCTCATCATTTTTACATAAGCGATCAGCCATCAGTTTGAAGATCTTTATGTAAATAATAATACTATTATTATGCCCAAATGGTCTGGATTTGTACATCTGGTCTGGATTAATTTTTTTCTTGCTTTTCCCTTTTGTTCTACGCCTCCGGCTTTTCTCGGAATAGACTCTCAGAGATGGCTTCCATTTGCCTTTAAATCCACCAAGCTATACGAGGGCAGGAACCCATTGAAAACGGCGCACCAAATCTCGGGTTATAAATAGAATGATCAATTCCCAGCAAAACGACTCGCGACTTTGACAAGCCTCAAAAAGTGCCTTTCCTCAATCCCAAGCCTTAGATATCTTACCTGGACACACATAGGAACATAAATTTTGTATCCCAACAAAAACCGGACCCAACAGGGTACAGAAGAAAGAGAGAAACAAGAAATCCAGACCATTTGGACATAATAGTAGAGCATATTTGCAGCCCCCAAAACGACCGTTTGATCCCAAAAGTGATGGCTGATCGCTTAGAAATGATTAGACCGAAATAGAAACAGTGACCAAGGAAATTCGCTGGAAAATCAATATGCACCCTGGTGGCCCATTTTTTCTCGGGGTTGAGCATAGGGAACGTGCTGGATAGGTTACCCCCACACCCATTCATTTCAGAGGAAGATTTTTGGGAGAACTGGATGAAAACGGCGGCCCCAGTCACATCAGTCACTTCCTTCCGCTTAAAAATGATGGGTGATCCCAGAAATATGAGCCTCGATTTTGGGCGTTGCAAATATGCTCTAATGTAAAAATTTAAACGGTCGTTTGGGCGCTGCAAATATGGACGCCGGCGCAAGGACCCCCGATTATCCCTTTGGAGGCTCCAGCGGCACGGACAAAATTTACCAAAATAATTTTACACAAAAAGACCAAAAGTAACCGCCTTCCCGAAAAAACGCTTTTCGCAGAAAGCGTGGGAAAATAGAAATAGTGGGCAAAAATGGCCAGATTCTGGATTTTCAGGACCTAGCCTCCAAAGGGATTATCGGGGGTCCTGCCGGACAGCGTTCACTGGCGTCTTGCAGCGATCGCCACCGTGATCCGAAGACATGTCGGCGATAGCTGAATCAGCAACCCCTATCCAGTAGATTTCACCGGCCGTCTCCAGCTCGTCCGTCGGACCAAATTCAAATTGTTTCATCTCCATCGTGCACATGCCTGTACATACCGCCTGACTACTGGCGGCTGCCGGTGTTTTTTCGTTACCAATACTCTCTTTCTAACCACAACCCTCAACGCACCCATCAACCTCAATAACCCATCTTCCTTCCGTCGAACAGATCAAAGGCGGGTCTATCAGTAATCTTCGCAAGGCCAAGCCGCTTTCTGTCACAAAGGTCCTGGGGATCCCCCCCATGCCCGCGAAGCTGGGCGATGTCACCAAGCCCGATCTATTGTGTGACATCAAAGCCTCACTGGGAGCGAGAGTGAAATACGGTGGATTTATCCAGCGGAATATGGTGTAGGTTTGGGGAAAGTTTGATGGACACACTGAACTAGGGCCAACTTTCCATCATACTTCAGTGGACATCCACTACATTTTGGGAGCTGTCCGATGAACTTTGGTGAATATCCAGCAAACTCCAGTGGGAGCAAAAAGTGTCCATCTGGGCAACGTTCAATGGATATGACTGAATTTACACTGTCTTTCCAATGTACTTCAGTGGATATCCAATGGATTTTGCTATGGATTCAACAAATTGTAGTGGATATATTAGTTGTCCTCGCTCAAAAAACAACCTAGCTTCCCCGAATGCATCGACGGGGAGTCGAACCCCGGGCTCGTCACGAGTGTCTTCTTTCCTTTCCAAAGCCTCAAGAAGCCGACGTGTGTGCATACACCACCGATGCACAGACTGATATAAGAAAGATGTGAGATGTCGGAGCGACTCGGCAGGCAGAGGTCCGTGGGATCGGTGAGATCCGTGGGTGTAGGGGGATGGTTGCGGACAGCATTACGAAGCGGCATTGATAAGTTCCGATCGCCTTGAAGGATGGTTGAAAGTCATGGCCAAGTACTACAGCGCTAGCAGAGGGGGTCAATACTTGAAGTCGAATATCCAAAATGCCACCAAACGAGTATGAGGAGCAATGAATGCAGTCTGGAGAAGGGACAAGGAGACGGGTGATTACATCTGCCAGTGGGGTGGTCAAAAAAGGAAGAAAAAGACATACTGCATTGGATGCATCGGAGGGGAGTCGAACCCCGGGCTCTTCAAGATTAACAACGATCATAGTGAGGGCTCAACTTTTTGATGTATTCCATGCTTACACCACCGATGTGCAGAGGTATATACGGAAGTCAGATAGGTGGGGGACGTCGAAGCGATTCCGTGGGCTGATTCTGTCACGGAAGAGAAATTCAGCAATTAAACAACTCTGATCAAAGCGAGGATATCGTAAAAAGGACAATGGCTGTTCCAAGCTCGGAAGAATCAAGCGGCGGAGAGATCTGACCAATAACCACAACTACATTTGCATCTGTACCGGCGCGACAAGTCCAGTCGGCGATCAGGATATTCGTGGCCTTTGCGCAACGCCGGGGGGGAAAAAGACGTAAATCCGCTCGTATGCATCGACTAGGAGTCGAACCCCGGGCTCGCCAAGATTATCTTCTGCGCCAGACTTTGGCCTCAAGATTTTGATGCGTGTTGCTAGCCTACACCACCGATGCGTGCGTTATATGAGGAAAGCCAGATAGGTGCTTGAAAGGGGTTCGACAGGAAGGCAGTGACCCGAAAAACGAACAACAGTTTCACGTGAAGGATGATTGAAACTCGAAAGAATAAGTCGAATACTGCGCAACGTATGACGAGTGTGAAACTGGAACCATAAGTAGGAAGGCATACGACGATGGACGGTACATGACCCCAGATGCAATGATTCAGACAGTACTCAATTCCCCCACAGCTTCCCGAAAAACCCGCTCTTGCTCTTTCCCTCCTTCCCCTCCCCACCCTCCGTCTGCGAATCGGCACCATCGAACTGAAATCTAACGCCCCCATTCGACGTCTCGACGGTGATCTCGTCGCCCGTCCACGCGTCCTCGCCTTTGCTGTCCCCAACCATCCCGCCTGTCCAGTCCGAAAAATCGCCGATGAAGGCGCGGTGCGTGCCGTTCACCTCATTGAAGGTTGTGACCGCCGCGCCCAGGTCGCCCATGAATTTCATGGACCCGTTCTTCGTGCGCACGGTGACGGGACCGCGAAAAGTGCGCGGGACGCGGATGTTGATGGAGCCGTTGGAGGAGCGCGCTGCGAAATTTATGGGCGAGCGCGCGGCGGCCGATGCGTGCTGCGATCGATTTAATTACTTTAGCACTTGATAAATGAACAGGGACGTACCAGCCTTGCACTAATCCCGCCATTCGAGCTCCTCAGCAACATCTGCACCTTTCCTTTCGGCCTCACATCCCCATCCCCGTTGCCACCGACGACGAACAGATCCACGTCGATCGCCCCGTTGCTCGTGTGCAGAAATGCGTTCCGCCGCGTGCCCTCCGTCTCGTCGGGCGCCAAGGGGGGGAGGAGGAAGGGCGGGATGGTCATGGACGGGTCGATCACATAGGTCCCCTTGATGGAGCTATTACCGCGGCTGAGGGAGAGAAAGTTGGTCGGCTTGACGCTGGGCGGGGCGAACGGGCCTGCGGCTGTAGAGGAAGAAGGAGGCGGGAGAGGCGGCAGGGGAGGCTCGGTGGCCAGAGGTTGGGATTTTGAAGTGGAGTTGGAGTTAGGGTCGAAGTAAGCTGGGGGTGGGTCATCCTGTGGCGAACATGAGCACATCGGATTTAGCCGAGGGTGGCGCAAACTTTACTTACTGGAACAGCGGCGCGATTGGCGACGATGTTGAGCTGCTCGACGCCCTTCACAAGTTGGTCGACGTCCTTCACATCGGGGTCCGAGGTAATGATCATGGTAGTGGGTCAGAGGGAATTTGTGCGGGCGTCTGAGAACTGCGCCTTTATACAGGTCCGCAGGCGCGTGTCACTGCTGCGGATGCTGTGATCCGTGTATCACAGCGTTTGGGGCTCGGAACTTCCCTGGAGTCAGTGAGGCTCTAGGCAGGGAGCTGTCGAATTCAGGGGGCGGGTTCTGTCGTTGTTGTAGGAGGATAGCCGCAATGAGCATTGCCACAATTTACCTTTTCGGGCGGCTCGCAGCCACCGGCCCGAGTAAGCCGCGGGCCGCCAGCGCGGGCGCTTGATTCTTGCGTTCAGCGCTCATCTCGTTGCCATCTCCCAACCACTGGATGCGAACTCGACTTGGATTTAATTGGCTCAAGTTGGGGCTTGGTTGGTTCATATCTGCAGATGTCGAATTTCCCCGGCGCTGCGTTAAACGTTTCTGTGCTTGAACGCCTCTCCGATTCTGGCTCTTCAAATTCCCTTATGGCGCAGAATCCCACCTATATGAGTCGTGCCGGGTCCCTCTGCGCATCGGTGGTGTGTGAACACGCGTCATACAAATGCCAATGAGAAACTCGTCATGACAAGTTCGGGGTTCGACTCCCTGTCGATGCATGAGAGTCCACACGTGGTCCAACTTTTTCATCTGAGGCTCGAGTGCGATTCTGCACTAGCATGCGACCCCCAAATTCGAATATTACCCCATCCTGAATCCATTTTTTGCAGTATCCTCAATTTGATCAAAAATTAGGGTCATTCACAGTTCCCCTTTTTCCATCCCTTTTTGTCTCCCTCCTTCTCCACTCTTTCCCTTTTTCCAGATGCATAAAACACTTTTTTCTGTTCAATCTCTGGCCCCATGGGTTCACTGGCAACCGTGTACTTAGACATTCAGAATTATTAGACCTACTGTATGAGCTACACTTTCCTACAATGAGAAGAAGGTTCTTTCTTAAATTCCTTTTGTCCTGAACAAAGGGATTTTTTAAAGACCTGCTTTCTCCTTGCTGGAAATAGATGCTGCAAGTCAGCGAGGTGAGAAAGGACCACTGAAAGATTGATATTCTGCGGCACTTTCACACCAAAGAGAAAGTCTGATTTTCTACCAATTTTGATTTGACTATAGATTTATCTACTTTCAGTCTACCTTTCAACCTAGGTCAAAATAAGTCTACTCTAAACACTGCCCCAGCCGCGGATACTCTGGCGAGCGCGTCCTGAACATGTCCGTGTGGGATACCCTTCTACGCTGGGCCGGGAATGCACGCGCGTGCAGGTACGGGTGGGTGGGACGGTACGTACAAGGTTCGTGTGGCGTGCGGACAAGTACCGGAACTCATCTCAATACCGCAATAATCTCCCGAAGAACCCTTCCCCCTTCCCCTCCCCAAGCGCACGCATTTCCGAATCGGGAGTATCAAACTGAAAGCGGACGCTGCCATTCGACGTCTCAACGCTTATCGCGTCGCCCGGCCACGCGTCCTCGCCCACGCCCTTGTTGTCCCCATGCACCCCACGCCCACCCACCCAGTCGGAAAAATCGCCGATGAACGCCCGGTGCGTCCCATTCACCTCGTTGAGCGTCGTAACCGCCGCGCCAAGTTCGCCCGCGAATTTCAGAGAGCCGTACTGGGTGCGCACAGTGACGGGCCCGCGGAAGGAGCGGGGGACACGGATGTTGATCGAGCCGTTGGAGGAGTGTGCGCTCAGGCTTATGGGGGGGCGCACGGGGGCAGATGCGTGCTAAGCATCGACTTAATTAGTTACGCACCGATAAATAAAGCGAGAGGAGGAGGGACGTACCAGCCTCGCATTAATCCTCCCGCTCGAGGACTTGAGCAGCATATGCACCTTGCCTTTCGGCTTCGCATCCTCGCCCCCGCTGCCCACGACGAACAGATCCACGTCGATCGTCCCGTTGTTCGTGTGCAGAAATGCGTTCTTCCGCGTTGCTTCGGTCTCGTCAGGCGCGAGGGGCGGGAGGAGCAAAGGCGGGATAGAGATGGCGGGGTCGATCACGTAGGTGCCCTTGATGGTGCTGTTGTCGAGGCTGAGGGAGAGGAAGTTTGTGGGTTTGACGTTAGACGGGGCGGAGGGCCCGGATGCGGATGTGGGGGAAGAGGTGGGAAGAGGGAGAGGCGGCATGGGGAGCTGGGCGCGGGGAGGTTGGGATTTCGGAGTGGAGTTGGGCTTGGAGTCGGAGTACGCTGGGGGGAAGTCGTCCTGTGGCGAAAAGGAATGAGGACATCTGATTTAGCAAAAGGTGGAGCAAGCTTTACTTACTGGAACAGCAGCACAGAAGTTGACGACGATGTCGAGCTGCTCAACGTCCTTCACATCGGGATTCGAGGTAATGATCATGATAGTAATCAGAGGAGATTTGTGCGGGGCGTCCGCAACTGCGCCTTTATAAGTACTGGCACCGCAGCGCGCGCGGAACCGCTAATGTTGCTCCGGTGGGGTCGGGCGGGCTTGGGCCTGGTCGGAATGGGCTTCAAGTTGGGTCTCAAAATATCCCAGGCCCGACCCCTCTCGGCTTTGGGCCTGGGTCGGGTCGGGCTCGGACTCGAGCTCGCGCTCCGGCCCAGGATTTGATTGAATGTTCACAAATGTGAGCTACAGCGTTTGACCTGTCTTACTTAACTTACTGCATAATAGTGCTTTTCTGACTTCACGCGAGGACCTTTTAATCTACATTTTGAACTTGACCCTGAGTACGCGCTGGGCCGGCGGCACCTCACCTTGATTTCTTAAAGTTTTGCGCTCATCTCGTCATGTCCCGAACACTGGATGCGAACTCTTGAGCACGACGCAGTTAGAGCTTTGTTGGCTTTGGATATGCAGAGGTCGGACCTTCTCGGCTCCGAGTTCTGTTCCTGCTAGTCTCTAGACCATCTACCTTGCTCCGGTCTCTCCGATTCTGGTTGGATTTTGGGCTCTTCAAATT